AAAAAAAACATTAAGGCACCTATAGCAAGTCCATTCGCGAGCAACACTGTGCCGCTTAGCAAGTGGTGGTGACTTGAACGTGAATCTGTTTATGGCGAAGCTGCCTTTCGACGTGTCTTCGTTACCCCCCCCCCTTCTCCCACATCCACTATGTTCCAGTGAAAAATTTGAATCAGGTTGGCTGGATCTGAACCTTGTTCAATGTCTAAGGAAACTGAAGTCATCTTTACGCTAACGCAAGTTTATATTCCTAATTATACGAAACACGCTTCAACAGAGATGTCGTCGTCCGTACATCACCACACGGTGGACATCGTTGGAATCGATGGTCAAACTGTCGTAGGTGACTAGCCGCATTGCATTGAGTCTACAAACCTCTTAATTCTGACTTACTTTGAAAGTCAGGTAATATTGATTTATTTTTGTCTACATCATACTTCGGAATTGTTCCTAAAAGTGGAAGGCATTTTTGCCAAGATAAGCATAAAGGCGCCGTTTTTCTTTCTTTGGCTACACAGGTTATGTTCTTCCTCCTTGATGCTGAACCCTCCTGTGACTGGGTCGGCCTCATTGCAACGTTCAATAAAGCCTTCTCGCCTGAATCGTCGGTAAGTACTGTGAGACTGTGTAAAATGTACCTATCTCCTGTCCAGAAAGTTTGAAAATTTCCGATGGTCTTCTGTCCTTGAAGTGCCAGCCTAGGTCATCACAAACCGGGGTTCGGACCACGTCTTTTGCATCTTTCCTATGTCAGAATTGTCCAGTCTGATGACCTCTAACACTTACGTAAATCAATTCGTGAAAGGGTACCTTATCCTTGAAATCATTTGCAGAAAATACCTTCTGAGCTGTAAGGCGTAATAGTTCGAACTATCACAGTCTGACGCACTTAGGATGAATCGGGAAGTGTGACCCATAGAGAGGACTACGAAGGAACAACGGAAACGCATAATATCAGGGCATGGATCTCGTCTACTCCTGCCAAGAAATGGGATATACCGAAAGTGCCTAAGTATGTAACTGTGTTTTGATTTACAACAAACAACCTCAATAGTGTTGCAATACTGGTGGTTGGGCAGTCTGCTTTCAAACTAAGTCCCGTTTCGTGACATGTTGGTCTTTACTTGAGGACTTTCTCAATCACTTTTTAAATTTGCTCGTAAAAAATCTTCGTTTACCCCGCGTTTGCCTTTCCTCGGCTTTTCGCTGCTCATGCAAAGTTGGTTGTTGTTACTGAAAAGGGTTATAAAAACGTGCATGGTCTTTTTTATGAATCCATAATTGCCTGCAGTTCATTATTTTGGCAGGTTTTACTATTTTTCTATCAATACAGCTCGGTATTCATGTATTTGTTTAAACGCTGCCATGTTTCTCTACATTTACTGGGAGTATAATTTTTTTTATCAGAACACTTTCCTAGTTTTCTTGATACTCTGAGGAGACCTTCTGACACCGGTCAGTTATTATAGTATATCTTGAATTTAAAAAGTGCGTAGCCTTCTCGTGGTCTGAAATATTTCCCCTTCCCATATACACGGGATCGAACTGCTTCTTTTCTCGGGAAGAACCCCTTCTCTCCTCTTCACTTCGTAAATAACTAAGAACGGCATAATGTAGGTAGGGCTTTTTCTTGAAAGTATATGAATCGCGCGTAACTGCGAAGCTCTTTTTAACGCCTGCCCGGAAGTTTTCAATGCCCCCTGGATAATGTAACTGCCCACGAAGCAAGCATCACTCTCTTCCTCCAGTGCTATAACCGTGAACGCTTTCCTTGCTTTCTGTGCATTGCCCCCGCAGGACGCTGATGTACAGGCCTTTCGCTACCACTTCAGCCAACTTATTGCCGACCCAACGCGTACTGAGAAGTTTTTGCAGGAGATGTGGAGACCCCGACGGGAGACACCTCTGATCACTCTGGCCGACATTTCGCGTGCTGTCATCGCCTGCCTTCCGCTCACCATATTTGACAAAGTAAGCATCCGTTATTGCAATCTTGACTTGCTACTTTGTTGCTGTTGTTCGCCATAACGCGATGACTTTACGAGTTTGGGATTTTAAGTAAACCCTCGGGTAATGACAAACAAGTTCAAGAGTTGAATTATGACAGCGTCGTAAGTTGTAAGCGACAGCATGCGTTTTACTGCATGTTCTAACTTCCTCGTGCATTTCACAGATTGTACATGAATCCTACAGGTGAGGCTGTGTGGTTTGGTCGTTTTATATAGAGCTCTGCAGACTGGCTGTTGCCGGGCGACGGGTCGATCACCCAGCGACTTCTAGCGATGTTTCTTGTATTGATGAAGGCATTTGAGTAGTATCGCTTGGGTTCCGCCATCATTTTCGGATAATCAGTTACTATGGGTGTTGTAAATCCTTTGTATTCTCCAGTCCAGATCCTTGATAGGATGGTGATAAGGGCCGTTCTTGCAGCTACTCTGTTGTAATCAGTTACCTTTTGTATTTTTGGAATGGGTTTGCAGTGCTGTATCGAACCTGTGGAAGCTCTTAA